AAATAATATAAAGTGAACCCAAAAAGAATTCATCACCATTTTACTACCACACAGTTTTATTTACCATAAGGATCACTAGGTCGTTGCATTTTAGGTGCCCCTTAAAATAAAAAAAATTAAATAAATAAATTAAAAAAATAAATCAAAATGTCCCAAATTTACCAATCACAATATACTACTTGTCTGACATAAATTGTATTTTTACACAATCTAACACAGAAGTCGATTCTTTCATGGAACATGAGAGCAGCGGGCAATTTCTACATAGAACCAAGGTCTGGTAGAAGGAACAGCAGAGAAGATGTTTGCCTTTATTGGCAGCACAATCCATTCATTGTTTTTCATCTCCCTTTCTCCTTGGGCCATTTAGTACTTGGAAAGTTGATCAGGTCACTTTCTGTTGTAGCATGCTTATATATGAGCGTTATATGCAGTGGTGTATCCTGGTTTTGTGCTGCCCTAGGCAGGACAAAACTCAGGCGCCCCCCACCCAACCCTTCCCCCCCCGCCCCACCTTCTAAATACACATACACACACAGTCAGACACACACAGTCAGACACACACACACACAGTCAGACACAAACACACACACACAGTCAGACACACATACACAGTCAGACACACACACACACACAGTCAGACACACACAAACACACACATAGTCAGACACAAACACACACACACAGTCAGACACACACACACACAGTCAGACACAAACACACAGTCAGACACACACACACTTAGTCAGACACAAACACACACACACACACAGTCAGACACACACACAATCAGACACACACACACACAATCACTCACATTAACACTTTTTTTTATTATTATTTCACCCCCCCCGCCTCCTTACCTTTGGGAATGCTGGGGGGAGGGGGTTCTCTATCTCTCTGGGGGTCCAGTGGCTGCAGGGCGGGTGGCTGCGGAGGGAGCACTCTGCTCAGTTCCCTCGCACGGCTAATACGTCCCTGGTTATATGATGATGCTTATACCTGGGAGAAAAGCTGTACATTAAGCACATCCCTCCCTTCCCTATCTGCAATGCTTCCAGGGCAACGCGCTCAATGCTTAAAATCCTATTTAATGAAGCACCAGTTTTGGAGTAGTTGTGCAAAATATAACATCCCCATGTAAAACCTCAATTTCTGAGACCAGATTGAGGGTAGTCAAGGTCCAAGTCTTCATACAGATCCAAGTGAGGCATAGATCTCTATGCCATCGAGATAGGATGCGAATCATGAATAGATAGGTGAAGTTATAACTTGGAAGAAACAGAATGTTCAAGCAGTTACAGCAGCAGTTATGTTTATGACATCAGAGCATGGCATCACTGATTATGATTTAACTCCTAAGGATCACAGTTCCTGAAGATTATCTTTAATAATATAAAGGGGGACTGTGGTAAACATCTAAGAGAAGTCTTTATAATTAATATACATTTTATACAAATCTAAAAGTAAACTTTGTAATCCCCTTCACTTTCACACCTTTTTGTCCCAATTAGAGATACCATTTTTATTTTGAAATAGATCATATAAGGTGCACTATGCCTTGAAATATAGGCCTGCATTTTAAAAACTGTTTATATAAAGTTATTTTGAAAATTAAGTAATTTGATCAACACATCTCTTTATGTTTAAGCACCTACATAAATAATGGTCTCCGTAATATTGCATATGAAAAAGTGAAAAATTTATATACTGTAAAAACCATGATATACAAAAATAGGAAAAAGGGACTATTTCAACACACTCACAAGTACAGACTGCTTGTAACGGATCCAAATATATTACTTTAGGCCAGTGGTACTCATTACAACATATGCAGATTGATGAATAACTGTCACCATGACATCCAAACAGCTAGACACGGTTACCCCAGAAGGGCCCAACAGGGGATATGAACCTGGATACTACTGTGTCCTAGGACTGCTATACTGCCTCTAAACCACAGCAGATTCGGTTGTTTTGCATAAGTTCTATTCTTGTTATTCCTCACTTTGTCTGCAGCACTAGAGGGCTGGACTTAATCTGTGGCTGATACCTGTGCTTCACCTGCGGCAGATCACTAATCAACTGAGTATTTAAACACTGCTTTGCCCTGGGAACTTTGTCAGTTCTTTGATTCTGGTGATTGTGTGTTCTTCCTCTTTTTTCTCCTGAACTAGTTTTCCA